CCCCCTCCCCCCAAGCCCTCGAACCCTCACCCCACATTTATATAAGTCTTGAGGTGGTACATATGCGTTATGGTTGCGTCCTGTTTTGAACCGCGTGTAAATCAAACTGACCGAAAAAACCGATGATGAAATTGCTATTTTCTATTCCTTATTACAGCGTGGTTGGACAGCACTTATCATGGCCGCAAAAGGTGGTTACACAGACCTTGTTGAATATCTACTACACAGGGATCCCAACGTTAACGCTACTGACCAGGTGTTGTTATCTATGATTATCACGCTTATTCCTATCTAGCCTCAGGCTTTTAAGGATTTCACTGTTAAAAACATGAATCTCTTCTTAGTATGATTACAATTATCGCGACGAGGTAACCTGAGGTATACGAAAATTATCTCATTCGTTTATATTTTGTGTTCTTTTGTTTGTAGTCCATTATGGCCTGAGCATTTCAGTCTGATTACTGAGTAGCGCGCGTGGTCTTTCTATGTAAGAATCCCTAATATTGTTTGAAAATCTGACCTGAGAAATTCAGATAGACGCTCATTAGTTAGATTTTATCACTTAACTGCTGCTAAGAAAAATTGAACTGTTTTGAGAAATTTTTTATATGATCATGTATATATGTAGGCCACTTTTGTTTTGGTATCAGGAACCGTTCTTTCATGCTCTTCAAGTCGGCAAACACTCCTCGAGAATCAAAGAATTCGACAATGTGTAGTACAGATGATGAATGCCAAATCACAGTCGCGTTTATGGTTATCTCTCACTCTAATTCCCTGAGAGCTTCTCAAGATTTTTTTTTCGCGCATCTGCTAACAAGCCAATACAGACATAGACAAGTAGACAACACATTCTTTAAAACTGTAAAATTACTTTGCATATGGACGTAATCATGTTTGTAGCCGGTGAACTGAATTAGGATGTTAAAAGTTTTTGATGCTATCGCACGGACTAGTATTTTGAGAGGACGCAAATATTCAAAATAAGAAATGAATTTAGACAGAGAGTTAGGAGCAGCTGTTACCTTGCTCTGCTTTGCTTGTTAGATATTATAAATAGATGATTTTGATTCGTTTGCACTCGATTACATTTTAATCAAACACAGTAATTTACTGTAGAATTATTGAAATTCTCAAGGATATCTATCGAATTCAACTACATCACTTTGCGTTGTATGCGACTTCATTTACCAAGTTCGTCGTTTTGAGGTCGTTGAGCTGCGTTGAAATTGAAAGTAAGTTCAAAATAAGATAAGATTGTCTAAAAACAACTTTTATTTTGATGTTACTGAAATGAAATGCAATTGTTGGGCGTCTCTTACTCCAAAAACCACTTGACGCTTCGAAGAATCGAGATACTAACATCGTTTTGATGCCGCTTAGTAACTGCTTAAACCTTACGGCTTTCATAGTAAAGTCCTATTTTGATTAACAATTCCAAACATGTAAAATATTCAATAAGAACCGACCAAATCATGACACATTCATTCTTCTTTATGTTTTTTTTCGCGGTTTTCCCCCCCGATAGAGTGTTCATATCTTTCGGTCTCATCCCTTGACTTCGCGATCGTGCAATCACCTGTGCAAAAGGCCCTGACAATGTATACTTTTAACCTTTAGTCCAAGAGAATGTTCTTTTGAAAAGTACTTAAGGAACTGTAAGTCATCTGTTTGATCTTTCTTCCACCATTTCCCTGTTGAGAATTCCTTCGGTTTCACCGCTTTAACTAAACGCTCGCGTTCGTATGAATTTCAGCTTCCTGATCGATATCAGACGAATAGTTTACGTAGGAATGYATAGATCGAAATTCTAAAGTGCCGGTTTGAAATATCAATAACAAGAATATCAGAATTAGCGTTTTGAAAAAAAAATTGTTTTACTTCAGGGCATTTTCCTGATGTCTATTGTTCTTAGGACCGAAATATTTAGCCTCAAACCCTATTACAAAATGAATAGCTGCATTTTACCCCTTACACTTGGCACGAAGTTTCTCGACTACTGGCTTGTAAAAAGGGCTATTTCATGCCGGAATTTTAAAAGTATTGAAAAGTATTTCTTACCTTTGAATTAGGATTCTTTTAGTAATTGACTAATAAATAATAGGCTCTCAATCATTTAAAATAGCTACGTTCATATCCATGTACACTCCATCAGTATTTATTTGAAAAATGTAAATATATTGTCAGTGATAAGCCATGTTATTTAACTCAAAGTCATCAAAGTGTATACACCGTGTATCATATCGCTAGTTTCGTTGCATGTCATCCTTATATCGAGTTGTTCCTATAGTCGTAATTTGAGTAACAGCGAGAACTCTACCCTTTTCTTTTTTGATGCTTTTGATTTGTGATGGTTCGCTAAAGTTTATTTAATATGTCTATTTTTCAATTCAAAAAATTTAAATAAAGTAAAAAGGCAATAAAATCATTATCGTTTTCTTTAATCCTCGGGTATTTTTTTAAATATCGTTACCACGTTACTACAGTGGTCAGTTCTCTTTATGTATGTATCTTTTTATCTTTTTAGTTCAATTTTACCAGGGAGGTTTCTACACATGCGAGCTTTGCACTTAAGACAATCTCGTTAAAACAATGCATGTTATTCAAAGTTTACAAAATTTGATGTTTTTAAATATTTTCTTTCTTTATTAAAGGAAGGATATTCAGCCCTTGCATGGTCAGCCAAACAAGGACACGATGAAATAGTCAAGAAACTCATCGCTAAGGGAGCATATTACAATTTGACAGACAAGGTAACTGAACATTTTCAATTTTCTATATGTAATAATCGATCATAATGTCTAGCTTTTTTGTCACTGACGTCAAACTTATCTGGTCGGACCTTATCTGGCCGAACCCTATCTGGTCGAACCCATCTTGTCAAACCTTTCTTCATTCGACCGAACTAGATGTATGATCCGCATACTAAAATTGCGATTAGTCAGTTAGACTAAATGCAGATGCAAGACTGCATCGTGATTTATGAATGCAAATGAGTACGAAATCGATTCTAAATATTATCTTGCCGGCTACGGCCATTAAAATCCGCCTAGAGTAAGCATAGCGATCTGAGTCAGTAATTACTGATGTTAAACTTGTACATCGACAGTTATTAACCTAGTAGTAGTAACCAGGTTAATACTTTGTACGTTCCATTCGGTAACTGTTCTGCTATGCCTGCGTTTTAGTATTGTTGATTCTGATTAGCGAGAAATTTAGCGTTAAAAATCGAAAAATGTGACGATAAAAGTCGGAGAAACGGGAAAAATGGACAAAAAGAGGGATATTGAGAAAAGGAGCAAAAATAAGGAAAATTGTTTGATTATTAAGCTTGGCGTCATGAGCTCAGTTTTGAGCCAATAGATCATCAGGATCTTAGAATTTCGATCATCATAGGGTCAATGTTATCCTACAATGAAGGTCATTAGACTTTTTCGATGTGTTTTTTGTATTCTATATGTACTTTTTTTTCGGAGAAAAAGACACTTCGAGTGAAATGGTCTTGAATGTGGAAAACTGATATCGCCAAAACATATGAATATATGTTAGTTTTAGATTTATCCATAGAGTGGCATATTCCAGAGGCTATTCCTTATGTATTTTCCTAATGTGCTTAAAAATAGATCAAGCGTTCTTCTATGTCGATTATTCATAACAGCAAATGGTCGTTATTTGTTGATTATCTGTAGTCTGTAGACGTGTTTTGTACTTTGAAAATGTTTAAATTCATTAGAATAATGTTCAGCACCCTAAACCGTAATGATAAACGAATAATTCCATAGTAAAAGAAATGAGTCTATTACCATTCGTGATAAGCATAGATAATGTCATGAAGAAGCTTTATAACAAATGAAACATTTCTTACAGAGGAGGGGTGCGTAGAAAATATGTATGGCTCAGAATGTTATCATGACAATATTTTTCTTGCTTAAGATAATATCAGACTCACTTCTTTGAGTGTTTTGGACGATCCATGGAAAATTTAAAGCAAAATTTAAATGTTTTGTTCACCATGATTTTTTAATGATCTTTTCCGACTCTCATCACATGCGCATGTCGTTTAGGACTGGTGCTCAGTGATGTCGAATGTGATTGCAAACGGTTTAAGTTGGTGTTGATTTTATTCTGTTTTCGAAATAAGCATCTTTAGAATAAGGTTTTCAATCAACTTAATCCAGGTTATTGTGCAAGTTTTGTAGTATACACAAAGGGATAATTCATCTCAAGGTGCTCTATTACTGTGCTCGTCCGAGACTTCGGATTTGTACTCAAATGGAATCAACACAACGCAAAGGCAGCCAGTCGAGAAAGACAACCAAACCATTACAGAGATACAACTCTGAAGTCCGAAAGATGATCGTAGGATACAACATGGAGGTAAATACCTCCAAAATACACTTGCGCATTCTTAGGAATATATGTGTATATTTACGGTGCGTTTTTTGGCTGTCAACATTAATCAAACCTAAACTTGAAGTAGCAGAGGCGTCCTTCATGCAGATACTAGTATCTAAGGCAAAGTAAAAAACAGAATTAATTCTCTTTCAATATGAAGTTTTCCTTTTTATGTATTAATGCCACGGACCTTCAATAATACTTCTTTTTACTGAGTAAGTCTTTATTATAATAAGAAAATACTAACATATTTGCTCCGAGGAAACCAGGTCGTACAAATAGCAAGTAAGAGATTTCTTGATAATATCCCAATATCTCTAATTTCTATTCTGCGAAAATTTAGTGAAACATCCGAGAGCAAGAATTTAATTTATTTTAAGCGTGCCAAATAAAGTTATAAGTTATTGTCTTAAAAATGTTTATTTGGTATACCTGGACGACATATGAACCTAAAATCCTTTTGTTATGCCTATTTCTAATATTTAAATGATAATCATTTAAAAAGAGAAAAGTCGCACTACTGTGTTTAATTATTTTTGCAAACGAATCCATTGTATTTTAAAAACAAAATATAAGGCTTGGTGATTCTTCTTCGCGAATTCGCGTACAAGATATTTTCCAATCACAAGAATCCAGTGTTTTTAACACGAAATGCGGGGACAGTATAGTTGTTACGCACAGGTTTTTTTAGTGAGGTCCATAAAAACCTAAGCGAACCAAGCTTGTGTTAATAAAACTACCATTGTACAGGATACGAAGGGAATTGCATTACTTATTGATTTTAACAGAGCTACAGTGTCCTGAAGTACATGAGATGCCTTCTTGCTACTGTTATAGAGGGAGCCGTAATTAGAGCTAGACAACGTCCCACAGTATATTTGATATACTATTATAGTTCAATATAGGAGATAAGGGGAGATCATAACGCCTAGTCTGGTCTTGGCAGAGCTACATGTAGATATGAATGTCTCACAGTACTTAAAATACCATTATGTAGAATACTATATTGGGAATGATAGGTGATCTATCAGTGACACTATAGTATTGGTCGCGATAGATGAGCTAAATGATATCCTGCACTATAGCACAATATGACAAAAACAGGACTTCATAACAGTTTACTTAGTTATGATGATCTCTATAAACATCCGGCACACATCAAGCAGATCCGACATTTTCAGACATCGTTTTAACTTTTTGAGCCAGACGAATGAATACTTGTCATATATCCATTTGCAGACGATTTCTTCAAGGATAACATAAAAAGATCGATGCTTAAGATGTGTTGAGGAGATAAAAGTGACGAAACAGAAGAAGAGTAATTATTGCATGCTGTACACTGATAATCTCAGTTTCTGCGGCATATACAACTGCTGTATGAAATGTCTATCAGTCAGGACGCATGTTTTTTTTCCAACAAGGCATTGGATACTGTAGCATCATCAAGATCGATCCTTTATTACTTAATGTAATTTCACTGCTAAGACATTTTTTCTGATGCAGGTTGCACACACTTTAGTGTGGTCCCTTGAAAAAGTCAATTTTTCTTGGCGGACACAGCTCGTCACGCATCAAACTTACTGCATACATTACTGATGTCCAGATTATTCTATCTAACAGTGCATTATTTTCACTCAACATCCTGTTCCAGAAGATTTAATTCAGTTTTGGTACTCATGCAAGAAGAAGCCTTTCTATAGACCAACGTTCCTGCATCCGGTGGTTTCATTCGCATGGTTTGGTTTTCAAATAATTCGTGCCATAAACCACCCGCCGACTATATTCAATATATAATACCATTTGCCTTGCGGCTCATAATAAGATATCATGTCGGTTTCGGTGATTTTAAATGTTGCTTTAGGGCATGACGTAATTTCAAGATCACTTGCAGAAATAATACGCCCATTATCTATTATTTTGGACTAAGAACGACATATGATGATATATGTTTGATGCATTAGTGCGTCTAGTCAGGACTGAAGTATCTTATAAAATAAATGGATGGAAAAACAGACGGACAAATGGATGGATAGATGGGATCTAAAATAAAGAAAGGGAGGGAGAGATTAGTGGGTGGGTGAACGAACTATTACGTTATTGATTGTTTTCATTTCTTTTCTTTTTTTTCTTTTTTCTTTTCTTTTTAGGAGGGAGAGACGGTTCTGATATCTGCATCGCGTGACGGCCACCTCGAAGTTGTCAAGACCTTACTTAGCAAGTTCGCCGAAGTAGATGCTGTTGATTCTGTAAGCGTTAAAGTGTTTATTAATCTCATTTATAATCTACAACCCCTCCTAAAGAATCGCACTTTTAAGTTTCTCAATTTACACTTCAACATGTAAAACGGATTTCTTATTCTGGTCCTGAAAGGTTTCTGTATCTAAAGATGTGGTATAACTTATTTTTGAATATTATTGATCTGTAATTAAATATTGTTTACCATATCTAAAGGAAGGAAAATCGGCACTATTCCATGCCGTGGAACGAGGCCATACAGCGATAGTTAAAGAGCTTTTAGAGGCTGGTGCAAAAACAGAGATTGTAAACAGAGTAAGTAACGTGTCTTCATTATAACTATAGTTATTTGGCTTAACAAATACCGATGTCTCTAAACGAGAACAGTTATACTCAGTCATACTTAAAATACAAAAATTTGGTGACTCTTGCCTTCGTTGAAATACGAATTGACCAGTGCCATATTCTCTTGGGGAAGATTGCCTGCGAATGGAGAAAAATCATGGCTTATTGGAAACTTGATTGGAAACTGTACAACCCTACTATGAACTATTCACTTATGATCGTAAGCTACACTGACTTCTGCTAATAGATGCGCTATATAAGAAGATTCCATTATTATATTATTATTATAAATAATACGGAGAAATTGTTTCATACATTAGCATGTAGCCTTTGTAGCAGGTCTTGGAGCGGGATGGCGAGCACTAGTGAAAGGCTTTTGAATATGCCTCATCAGGCACCGCTTTAAGCATAAATGGAAGCATCTTTTTCAGACTTATAAAGGATAAGGAAAATACACCAATGTACTGTCTGAAATATTTTATTTCAGGACGGCGACACTCCTCTTTTACGAGCCACTGTGAAGAAACACACAGAAATTGTTGCTCTGCTGTTGGACAAAGGAGCGCTTGTATGTGCAGCAGACAGGGTATGAACATATACAATGAACATATAAAAATATCATAAGATGAGCAACATCACTCTCTCCCTTTTGTCATGTGTCGTATTTTAATCGGAGAAAACTAGGGTATTTAGTATAAAGATTTTAAAAGACAAGCAAACGAGCGAACCAAACCTTCGCGCGTGCTCAATAATGTTTTCGCTGGACTAGATAACAGTTTAAACCTCAATGAATTTAGACATCATTACGAAGTGGATTTATTGAATATTGCTGCTTGTTTTCTCATACACTACTTCATATTTTGAAGTCTGCTAAAGCTCCTAAATCCAACTTTGAAGCCTTCCATAGTTTGTTATAACGATAACTTCAAGAAAAGAATTCAAATTACATTGTCTTGGTTACTTTCACAGAGAGGAGATACAGCCGTGCATATAGCTGTTCGAGGCCGATTTAGACGAATTTGTGAATTACTACTGAGAAATCCAAAAGACGCAAGACTTTTGTATCGACCTAATAGAGCAGGAGAAACGCCCTATAACATTGACAGGCAACACCGCACAAGCATTTTAACGCAAATATTTGGCACCGGTGAGTTTATCCGCAGCCTTTGACCCACTTTGACCAACTGATTAATTTATATCTCAAAAATAAAGGAAATACCGTACGCGCGCAATTCTAAGTCGCGGTTAGTTTTCCAAAACGCGTCCCACATGGAAAAGAGTGACGTTGGACTCTTAGTCATCTTCGACAGAAGCGATTAGTTGGTCGGCTGGTCATAGCAAGGGGTTAATCATCTACGGTCTAGGGGCCGACTAATCTCTCCGTTAGGCTTCGGCCGAGCTTCCTGATCAGTCTGTAAATCCCAGATAGCGGTTTTGGGGCCGAAATCTCCAGCATAGCCGTAAATGCTTCGCGCTGCCATACGACGGTTCAGCACTCAATGTCTGGAAGTATGGTCCTAGTTGTTTTTGTTAAATATAAAGATAATACCACACTTCTAATTTTGTCACTCGCAAAGAAAACTGAGAAAACTTTCATAGTTACAATTCTTACGAGTCTGTGTCTACTACTCGGTTCGCCTCTGCCGCGCGCACACCGATAAAAAAGTGGGTCCAGCTCTGGACAAGGCTGTCGATTGTATTTTGCTTCTACTTCTAGATCTCCCAATCCTTCAATTAACATCCACGTTTTCCATACCTGATGAATGACGTACTTACCTGGTATAAAGGAAAAACGATGACATACTTGACTATTCGCAGTAATAATGGGTCCCTTGTTCTGTATCTGTAGGTTTGGTTCTAGGTGGTAAAAAGTGTAGTGAAGAAGTCATGGGTTACGACGTGTACACCAGCGCTCTTGCCGACGTGCTTTCTGAGCCTTCTCTCAGTATGCCGCTGACCGTAGGAATGTATGCGCGATGGGGTAGTGGCAAATCATTTGTTTTAAAAAGACTTCAAGGTATGTAAAACAATCTACACGAAATACCAACCTCCTTTAAGAGCTGTTGTAATCTCTTAATAGTCCGCTCATTCGAGTGAGCAAGGAACAAAGGCTCCAAGCCGAAGTTGGTCTCAATAAAATACAATAAATGTATTAATGCATCAAGTTCATCCTTGCCTTGGAGCCATTGTTTCAAGGTCACTCAAGTAAATTTCGTCTTTTCTTATATTTGTATACATATTTCAAAAGTAACAAAAAATAATTCTATTTTTTTTGATACAGAGGAGATGAGAGAATTCGCTCACCAGGATATGCGTCCAGTTTTCCAGTTTTCCCGTTTCATTTTTCTAATTGTCCTCGTAGTATCAATTATCTTTGGTGTGACCATGTGGGCAGCCCTAGGCATCATAGAAGGCATCTGTATTGGACTTGCCCTTTTTATTAGTGCGTATTCGTTATTTCTGTGTGCTTACGTGGCGGACAGACGATATACCAATGGAGAGACTCCCTGTGCAGTTGGAGGCTACGTCGCAAATTCAGTTTCTACGCTCAAGTTGCTCTTGCAGTTCATCTTCTGTATTCCTCCGTCGCCTAGAGCTATGAAGCCTTCGCTGCCTGTACGGTTTTTCTTTACAGATTTCAGCAAGTTGACTTGTAGCGGAAGTGAAGCTGCCTCGTTGGTCGGGATGATAGAAACGCTTTGCGACGTCGTCGAATCAGAATTCGGTTTCTTTGTTAGCCGTCTTTATCGTGTGTTTCGGACTCCACATTCTGAGTATGAAGACACGGATTACATTGAAGCTCGATGGAAACGCTGCTGCTGCTGCATTCCAACCTTTATTATCTTTTTGTTTGTCATTATTTGCGGTCTAACAAGTCTCACGTTGTTTACGGTGAATGGTACCAAAGGAGGGAGCATTATAACAGGAATAGAAATAGCAACTTCAGCTGTGGTCGGCGTAGCTGTACTTGCTCACTTTCCTACGGTTTGCTCTATGCTGTACTCGCTTGCATTTTCTCAGAAAAAGCGAATCTCAGTGGTTGCGACTCAGCTTGGTCTAAAAGAGGAAGGTTTCATTCACGCTTTGAAACAAGAAGTGGAATTGCTAACTGATCTTGTGAATTGTGTGGATGGGTTCACTCGACATCAAACTCGCATCGTCATCGTCATCGACGGTTTAGACAACTCAGAGCAGTCCAAAGTTCTCCAGCTACTTGACTCTGTTAATCTACTTTTTACGGATCCTGAGGCACCGTTTATTATACTCATGGCTTTAGACCCAAGAGTGATGATCCGTGCGATCGATCAAAGCTTCAGCAGTATCTTGCGGGAATCTCATATCAGTGCCTCGGACTACCTCAAGAGTATCGTGCAACTCCCTTTCTATCTTCCGGAACCCAAATCTAACTACACCGGGGTGCTGCCTCCAAATGTTATGAGTCTTTTGGAGGACGTTCGCAATGTTGACTACGACAGTGACCATCAACCGGATATCGACTTGCGTCCAAGTAGTATTGTTCATGACGATATGGAATGGGATGGTGAAATGCTGCAATATGATAACGATAAGCGGGCGCATAGAGACTTTAATAACTGTAATGGAGGTGTTCCAGTACGCATACACCCTGACCTAAATCTAGACTCATCCTTGATTTATGAGCCAAACGAACGTGAACCTTGCTTAGCTGTTGATCATCAAAAGATGCTAGAAAAGGAGCTTGAATTAGAAGAACGAAGAAAAATATCTGCTGACTTAGCGCAAGTCTTGGCGGATAACGAAACAGTAAATCCTCTCGGAGTAAAGCGTCTCATGAACATAGTCTCTCTTACGTGTCGACTTCTTCGAGCTCGAAGTGTCGAGTATTCCTGGAAGCGGTTGGCGGCCTGGGTGAGTCTTGTAGATGGTTGGCCCTACAAGACGTCTTGGCTTGTTCTGCTTATTGAGGATAATAATACCCATATTCGAGATAATGTTTGTCTGAAAGATCTCTACGAAGCAACGCTCTCTGCAATGCCTGTTATCAATGAGGTTGACTGCATGGTCGACGGGGACCCTGTGTATTTTGAGACATTCCTTTCGTCGCATCAGCCACTTTTAAGAGCAGCAGATGTGAGAAGGTTTTTGTTGAGCACGATTCATTTGGATCAGTCATTGCGGCGGCAGATGGTTGAGTGTCTGCATGCTGGATTACCAAGTGGAAGTAACGCAAAATCTGAGACAGAAAGTGTGGGAAAACGAAGTTCTGCTTATCAGGTAAGGAAAAAAGATAGGTCGATTGTTATGCAAAATTGAAAGTCTTGTGGCCCAGAGAATATACGAGAGAGGAAGGATCTAGTAGGGGAGGGGTAAGGGACTCTACTTTGAATAATATCCCCCTCGCTCCCTCATGTCTAGGCACATAGAATATATGAGAAAGAAAGGGTCTAGTGGGGGAGGGGTAAGGGACTCTACTTTGAACACGTATAATATCACCTATATCCCCTCCCTTTACCCGATGTTACATTATGAGAATCTCTCTGTTTAATTCCTTCCTTTATCTTTTCTTTCTCTTTCTTTTTTCCTTACTTTGTTCTTCCTATTCATCTTCCTCTCTCCCTTTACACCTTTTCGTCTTCAATTAATCTTTGTTTTGACCCCCTCCCGTTCTCTCCTCTAGTGTTTTCGTTCGTTTGTTTTCAATATCCCATTTCTCTCTTCTAATATCAGTACTTGGTTATCTATTTTCACAGCTCACTGCCTCATACATTGCCAAGGAGAAACAAATTAACTTAAATAGTCTCACCATCGATGATGTCTGCAAACAGGTACAGAATGCTGCTATAATCAGACGTCATTTCCGAATTCACCATTTCACTGTTCAAACACAGCATTCAATCGAGGCTGAGGGTTAGTTTCAAAGGATAATTCAAATTTCAACCTTGTAGCCTAATCGGTTGACTGCTTTGTGTTCGACCAGTGAATCGCTGTATGGAAGATGGTGAATGGTGAATGGTGAATAAGTGAGCATGGCAGACAGTGTTTACCCTTTACTGAAGGCTTTTGATGAGATTGGTGGCACTCATTCAGCAAACTAATACCAAGCGATTGGTGGCGTGCATCCCTTCCCATGAGAATAAAAGGACAAAAGACGTGGCCGCCATGTTGGTTGATTTGACAAAAGACACCATGACAAAATCTTTTGCCGGTCAAAATCAGCCAAAATGGCGGCTATGACGTCACATGCACCTCAAGCAATATAATTATGAAACTTTAAAAGTAGAAAAAACGTTATCTAAGGTGGAATGTTTTACTGCGTTCCCTTTCCAGCTGTCCGAGCTCGAAGGTTTGGATCAAAAGCAAATGTCTACTTACCAAAAGGTAGTAACCGATAATAATATCAATGGCAAAGTCCTGGCTTCCTGTGATCTCAGTGAACTGAGTCAGATTATGGGAATGACCTTCGGTGACTGGCAGTTATTTAGAGCGTGGATTATCAACGCCAGGTACCCTCAAGAATGTGGCAGTCGGTAAGTTAGTTTGATTTGATTTGCTATCCGATGTACTTAATTTACTAACGGCTCTTAAGAATTTTGAATGAAATTTGGATAGAAGTCTAAAAAAAGCTGCTCACATGTGCGCTGATACGACTGAGATACTAGCATCAGTATCCCATTTTAAAATTCGTGGGAATAAGATTCTTTGTTTGCATTTTATCCATGTGAACGTGCCTTCTTAAGAGTTACTAGGAATCAAAGAAATTATTCTCAAGGCTATGACGATCTTGTAGTTTGAGAAGAAAAATCATTACTCCCAATATGTTTCAGTCATGTGCATTCAATTCAGTTAATGATGAAACCATTTTATTTTATTAGTCATCTTGGTAGTCGCTGCATAAGTCCAGGAGAAATGCAATGTCAATTAATAAAAACATCATCATCAGGTGAGCTAGCATAAATAATATTCACACAATCGCAAAATCGGTAATAGTTTCCTTATCTGGGATTTCCTTGTCTCAACCATTGACCGTTGAAAGTTCTTTTTTTATGTAAAACATATTCTCACAAGGTGTTTACGCAACCTTCTTGTATAGTGTATGTGAGTTGGAGGGGAGAGGTGGGTGGGGAATGCCGGGACTCCATCTCGTCTGGAATCGGTCTCCTTAGAAAAACTAGGTATTCAAATTTGAAATTCGAAAAAGGGAATTTATCTAAAAAATCCTGGGGCTGAAAATTGTTTTGTGTCGCATGCATGATTATTACTTGTGTACTTACTGTCTGTCTTTAAGCTCAACTATTCACTGCATGATGCATTGGCTGTTATTAAAAGACAAAGATACGACACGCGCTACACATTACAGTGACATGCATTATTTGTTCTGTATTTCAGGTGGTTGGGACCAAGGAAATATCCTGGGATCACCAAAAGGTCTGAGCATGTCTGAACAAAACGAAGGCGTTCAAAATGAACCTGAACCTTCAGCAACCCAACTTGCTGAACTCAAGGCCACACAAAAAGGTGGCGAAGTTCCCGTTGATGAAAACGGTGTGCCACAGATCGTTCTACAGCCACCATCCACGCCAGGCACTGAAGAAGAAGACAACTGCGAAACCACGGAAACGGAGCTTGAAAACAGAGACGACGAAGATGACCACCATGAACAAGCAAAACTGCGGCGGTCAGCAAAAGAAAAGAGGATGTCTAAAGAGGAAAAAAGTTATAGTGTGGTTGAAGACAAGATGGACAATAAATCTCAAAAATCTGGTCATAAGAAAGAGGAAACTTTGGTTGACATCGAAACAGATGAAGAGAAGGATGGGTCATCATTTACACCTCAGCCACCAATAGCATTATTTTTTAAGGAACAAGAAGATTTTCCTACACCACCTGATAATACTGACGGTGGAAGTACCACGCTAAATAAGGGTAGTGCTTCTCACGACTTAATGTTCTTTAGTGAGTCTAATGGGCATCCTAAAAAAGACCAGGAATTAACGAGAACGAGCTATGAAGACGACTTATGGATTCCAATGGAAAAACCGCGAACTTCATCCGTAGGTTCTACTGGTAGTGCGGATTTCCCACCACCTCCGTCTCCTCCAACTATTCAAGTTATGGAATGCACTTGCGAGATGATAACCCCTGATGAAAACAGAGAAATTGACAAAGCCACACTCGAGAACTCCCTTTTCTCAGACGCAAAAGAAAGCAATACCATTGGAAGACCCTCGCCAATCGTGTTGACTATGGCCAAAAATGGCCCAGTCACAAACGCTGTGGCTGTTAAACAATCAGCCACCGGAGATGCCAGAAGTACCTCTTCGTCGTCAACTCGATCGGTCAGCGAATCCACGGGTACACAATCGACGATGTTTCCTGACCGTAACAGAAGTGGCATCCCAAAATCTTATAGCACTGATATCCGATATTTACCTACGGAAAAGAGTGAACCAATAGGAACTAGACCAGTGTCTACTTCAGACATGAAGAACCAGAATATTCGTAGTTTACCAAGTTTAAAGCAACGAGCTGGATCAGAAGGATGGGTTTCTCCTAAATCAGGGTCACCCCCTGAACAGCATTGTAATGTACTGAACTCGAAAAACAATTCTAATAACAGTGACATTAATGACTTTCCTCCACCCCCACCCCCYCTGTTAAATGATTCTGGCAAATACCAACCCGATTCTCCTTGGGTTCCGCTTTTACAAAGGTTTCAAGTGGACCAGGATTCTGCAATGTACATGGATAGCGAAGAAAACCATCGACGCCCTCGGCCAAAACCCGGCTCAACAACACAAGATCAGAGATCACAAAAGTTCAGAAGCTATGCACCACATTCAAAACCCAGTGTCGTGGAAGTCAATAATTCTGAGGACAGAAAGGATAAAAAGAATGAAACCTGCGTTTGAGTAGATTTATACTGTGATTTGTAATGTGGATGGTGATTTTTGTGAAGAAAGACATCATCTTCAGTCTTTGCCAAGGTGTCACCGTTAGTCCTTTCTTGAGTTGCCTCTTCAGCTTAGGTTTGCACACATAGGAGTTCTWTATGGAGCAAAAGAGTGTAACAGCTCCAAGATACTAGACGACAACACAGAGAATTAAGTATATATAAATATATGGAGTATGAAGTATAAGGATTTAACTCCCATAATGGGTTAAAAAGCTTCACTGAAAATTAACTTGCCATTATTTAGTTGAGAGAGAGATGGGGGGTCATTATAAGGACGATAAAATGAGCAAATACAATTTAATTTAAGGCACGATATCTAATATGATTTAGATTTTAAATATTTATCAACCTTGCTTACAAAGTAGGCTTTTCTGACTTTCGTGACTGCTTCAGTATATCAGTTTAGAAACAGTCCATTCAGTGATATTGCCCGGACTTTGATCAGCCCAGAGGCCTGACGGTATCTCAGGGTTCGATCTGTGATTTAGCCGTGCCCTGACTTCGATCAGCCAAGTGTTTGTTTTAGGGTTCAGTCCGGCTTTAGTTAGCCGTGTCCTGGCGGATCAGCCTTGCCTTGACATAGATAAGCCCAGAGTTTGTTTAAGTGAATTACAGCTCCGCCTTGAATTTGATCAGCCAATAGGTTGTTTCAGGGTATCGATATATTTTAGGTTTGATACTATACTGTTGTAGTAGCTTGGACTCTTTTGGGTTCCTTTTGCGATACAAAAGTTCACCAGGAAAGACTTCGTGAAAGTGTCAAAGCTTTAAATAAGATGTTTTTGAAGGAATAAATTAAAAAATATACGTTTAAATGAAAAAAACAAACCAGCTATAATTAAACTAGTTACGTTAACTAGAATATATAATACACTCTTTCATTTGTTAATTTATGATCACTGCCTTAGGAACAGTACTAGTTGTTTTGTAGTGTCTGAGGGGGTTTGATTCGTTTCAGCAGTTTTTTCTATTCTCCATTAATTTATTTATATATTTAAGTAATATTAAGTGACTTTTTTATATGTCTAGCTTTGGTGTTAAATTGTTTTTTAATTTTAATATGTATAATTGTAAACTTAAAACGCCACCAAAATTAATAACTGGATTACGACATAATTTAAGTTTAGCAAGAATATAACTGAAGCAGATTTAAATTATCTGTCACATCGATTTCCAAGATGGCACAGATTTGCATTGAAATATGAATTTGAGATATCAGATCGACTTTAATGTAACTCGTTTAGGTCACGCCCACACGTATGCAAGAATTTTTTGGCGCACGCATTTGAAGCTTCACTTTCAACCCAAAAGGTCGTCACAAATTTAGACACAAACAAATTATTAGATGTTGCGTTTTTGAAAATATATCAGATACGTGTGGACGGGGTCTTATTAGTTCTTGTATCTATTTGATTGTTAAAGATATTGAACAGAACTAATGCATAATAGAGTTGAACTCTTTGATTAGTTGTTTTTATGCTTTCTAGTTACCCTGCGCGTGACGTCATCGATTCCATTTAGCACAGATTGCGGCGAGATAATACAGAATGAGGTGGGGTTCGATTACACCCATTTTTCCGCGACCATGTTACGCAGCCAACGTTTTTTGGCTTCCATCAACTTAATTTGCAAAGCGGTCCGAGTTGGCATTTTTTAGGTTCACAGATGCAACAAAAAGTAAATCAAAAATCAAAAAATAAATAAATGAAGGAATTAAAAAACAGACAACTTTGGCTGTGTTGGTTACGTAATCATAAAAATGGGAGTAATTCACAGAGCGAGAAACACGGGACTATAAGTACGGGACCATAAATATGAGACTTAAAGCACGTGTACAGGACCTTTCACCCCGTTGCGGCACCCTCAGTAGCTAAGCTTACACCCCCTGTACATATGATCTGTCTACTGTGTTTTGGGTTATAAGCCAGGCTGTTTCTTGCGTCCCAATCTTACAGCTTTCATAGATGGGTGAAAATGGAATGGATATAAAGTAACGTGGAAATCCTTTGTTTTCCTGACCCATTGCTTAGAAGACTAAAAAGAAGTGAATAGAAACCAGGTTGCTTCCATTTAACAAATTACTCATTATTGTTAACCGAACCAAGATGGCCGCCATGTCTGTTTGTCGATTCTCTCATGGATGCTTCCAACCCAACTTTTTCTCCGTTTTCTAATCCCCCCAGAAATTAAATAATATATCTTTACGATGACAAAACTATTTGAAATTTTCTTCTTTTTTTCTTTGACATCACACTTTAATACATAAATTGGTTACCACTGATTTTACGACACTTACCTACTAAAAGGTGAAATACACTAACTATCTATGTACAAAATCCCAAGTTCTAAAATACTAGATACGATTAATGACCATTCTAAACTACGGCCAGATAATTTCCTTAAATTAATAAACAATGATAGATATATTAAAAACTTCTTGATCAGTCAGTTCTAGATATTTGTCTCGTTTTGAAGTCTAAGATAAATCAATGTTGAAATGATTGCTTTTAAACCTTAGAACCAAAAGGCTACAAAACGATATATAACCTTTCACTTAGTAATTATACGTTTATACCGAATTAACATCAGGAACTCATTACATCAAATCTTTAAAATAATACCGTTTCCATGCGCGTTAGCAAGGAACTAATAGGGGTTAAGGATCCAGCCCACGACAGAAGCGAAGACGGCGACATCGGCTATAACCCGAGATGTTTTCAGGACATTTTTTATGCGCGCGACGTCGCTCTTGCTTCTCAGAGAGAATGTCGCGCATGAAAAACYTTTTGAAAACGTGCTCGGGTCATCGTCCGACGTCTCCTTCCTCGCTTGTTTTAATGATGTTAAGGTCCCTTAATGGTAAGCGAAAGTTGGAAAGACCTGACGGAGAACAGTAAGCGCAACTAGGCAATATTCTTTGGTACCTATCTGCTTTTGAAATTGCTATCGCAATCGTTGAGAAAAGTTGAAATCGTTTCTACTTTTTGTTAATATTACGGAACCTTTCTAACTGTTGCAAAACAGCTTCCATGAAGTTTTAGTCTAGTTTGATAACTTTGATTAAGTTCACGCTTTTGTCGTTACTGGTCCCGTTTTGACAAAGAAAAAAGGACTTGGACCTCTCCCCTAGTATGTGCCGTCTATTAATCAGCGATGTATGTGAAAGAGTTTAGGGTCCCGACGTTGTTTTTTAAGGCTGGTCACACTATTATCAAAACCATATGAAGCATTCTTACGGTATACTATCCCTAAAATAGACTAATGCTTTATTGGTAAGGTTTGATGGGTCGTATGACCCAGCCTTTACCTGGGCCCAGTTGCTCGAAGCAAATACAGCGAGTGCTGTACTGATTGAGGTTAGAAGTTTCACCCATTCTTTATAGTTATGCTTCCCAGACAGTGACGGCCTTGTTTGTCGTTAATATGAAGTCCGATGTCTTATGACCGCAGCCAAAAAACCAGCTCTCTAGAGATATCTGGAACACGTGTCTGGAAAGTGCAACCTAAAAGCTATATATTAAAAACCAAGCTCTTTTTCCATACAGGGCAGGCAAAGATTACTATTACAGTGACTTCAGTTGGAAATGCCCAGTGTGTATTTAGAAAGTTGCTTAAAAACCTACGTTCCTTGGTTGGTATAAAAACTAGGCTGCAAAGGTGCTTTTAAACTCGATCTTGAGATGAGCGCTTTATCCCAATCGAGCAACAAGACCGGCTAAAATAACTAACTCAAGACTGAACTGCGATGACCGACCCAACTTAGAAAAATATTAGCTTTTCCCTCTTAAATATGTTTTACATTAAATCAGTGAATTCTATAAGCGGAATAACGCAAAGTCAATTAAGTGCCATAATCACACGGCAATTGGTTAAATGTTTCGTAAATACTTTCCATGAGTGCCATATGTAGCTACAGAGAACCACCTACAGTACTGATAACAGTATTCGGCTTCATCCGTAAGTGTTGACTGTGTTTGACTGACGATAAGCATGTCATGAAGGGACAAGCTTTTCTGGTGTCACTTTCTGGCAGGAGTCCACTACTGCGTCCTTCTAGCCATTTTAAAGCAAGAGCCAGACATGGCTGACAAAGTACTGCAAGGCCGTTGTCAAACTGAAGTTAATAAAATCTCTTGCACATTCCAACTCCTTTCTTTGATTTGCAATTCCTTCCTGGCAATCAGAGAACGACGAAGCAAACTCATTAGTCATTTTTCTATTTTCTTCTGTCTCTACTCGAATCCATATATTACACTCAAATTCAAATGAACGGGCATTGGGCCATCTTGTAAATCATTACGTTGTGAAATTCCTCTCCTGAGAACACCTGGTGGCCAGCTATATCATGGTGTTTGTGGGAGTATCTAGTGCTGTGCACACAGCAGAAGTCCTTAAGTTCAATCCACCTAGGATTGCAATACAAGTTGTTCACTCTGCCACCATCGGGTGCATACGACAGTTAGTACATCAACTGGATATGACACGTTCACAGCGGTGCTGTAATTTCCTAATTGGAAGAGATTATCGTAGAAGTTGTCTAACGCGTATGTTAGCAGCCTAGCTGTCAGAAGTTTCAAACAGGGAAACCCTAATATGTCAAATTAGAGACTTTAAGCAGAATTCTTAATGGGCTCAGCATTTCTTACTTATTTACCACTTTGGTAAATAGCTCGAACAGGAAACCATTATTTCACTGACTTGCTTGTTCCAAGGTCTCAAGTTTCATGGCAAAAGATTCCAATGGCCCAAAGAATTATCAAATTCGGTTATGATCCTAATAGTGGTATTATTTTTTTGGAATTCTTTTAAGCTATTTTTTAGCTTTTTTGTTTCATTTTTGTTCGTTTATATATTCTTTTTTTTTTTGTTGTCACTTTGTTGGAGGTATTGGTTCTAGAACCAATGCAATGTTTTTCACTTCTTATCTTTCCCTTCTTTTGCTTCGTTCGTACTACTGTCCTTGGCTTGTCCGGTTTTCGATGAATCCTTTGGGTTGGATTTGGGTTTTGCAGATGTGTCTTTTTCCTTTGAGGGTGAAGGTTCTTTAGGGTGCTTTGCTTTATCTGATGCTTTGGCTTTGGCTCCATCACCTGATGATTTCTCATGTTGTGTTTTTCCTTTAACGGCATCTTTTTTAGTTGCTCCTTCTGAAGGCTTGCTTTGGTCTTTATGGCTTGTCTTGTCTTTGTGGCCATGACTAGACTCGTGACTTGCATGGAGCGGCTTACCATCTTTATGGTGTTCCCTTTTAGGTTTGGGGTTCTTATGGTGTTCCTTGTGATGGTCCTTGTGATCTTGACTCGAGTCACCACTTGCATGATGCTCCTTGTGATCATGACTGGAGTCACCACTCGGATGATGGTCCTTGTGGTCATGACTGGAATCGCCACTTGGATGATGATCCGTGTGCTGTTCCTTATGATCATGACTGGAGTCACCACTCGGATGATGGTCCTTGTGATCGTGTTTAGAATCACCACTCGGATGATGGTCCTTTTGGTGCCCTCTGCCAGGCTTGTGATGTCCCTTGCCAGATTTGTGATCCTCTTGATCATGACCATGAGGTTCCTTGCTTGTATCGTCCCCTGGATGATGATCCTTGGCATCCTTATGGTGGTCCTTCTTGGGTTTGTGATGGTGGTGATATGGGTCAACAGGGAACTGGTTATGAGGCTGAACAACAGAATAACATAGTTAAAAAAAGAATGATGGAAAATGCACTGTTTTAAAACTTTTTTGAAATCATTCAGCACACATCTAAGATGTAATGTTACATCCAGTTCATGAAAATATTTTTTAAACACCTTTCGAAATTTCAACTGGGCCCTACATTCATTATATCAAGACTTGAATGCCTGAACCAATCTATAATGTAAAGCCTGGTTCACACTAGYGATGCAAGCATAAGTATATTATTTCATTCTACCATGATATAAAGGAGGTTAAATAACTCCGAAAGACTATGTGCACTCGTATATGTCGTTATAAATGCTTATGCTTGAGTCACCAGTAAGAACCCAGCTTTAGAGCAGTTAAGTATACTTACATCATTTCTGAAGTCTTCTATCGTCTTGTACTTGTCCAATCTTTTCTGTAAATCCGGATTGATATCGAACTTTTGATTGCCCTGCGAGAGAAACATTTAGAAAGTAAGGGGTATGTTCCAGAACTTATATTACAATCACAAATCGACTTTATGAATGGTCTTTTCAACTGGTTTTATATACCTTGTAATATTTCAAAAATGCCCAGAACTTTTCAAGACCATAGAGATTCCCTAAGAAATTGAAGAGAATTAAACCACAATTAGATTAATGAGATATGAGGGAGAATTAGTACTCAAAAACTGGAGCAACAACAACAATCAACAACAAAACAAATATAAGTACCAAAAACAAATCGTTTCTAACCTTGATCATGGTCTCGCATAGTCTCAGTTTGGAAATCCTTAAAAACCTCTGGTCGGAATTTTTTCTCAAGTCCATAGCTGTAGAATCTAAACAGACACTCTAAACCATACCTGGGGAAAGAAATGAAAAAAAGAGTTGATTAGGTATGTTTGATTTAAGCTGGTCTTAGTCAAAGAAATGAAAAGCTTAGGGTAGCAAAGATACATGTTAATAAAGTTTATTTGGTGTGTTGTTCTCTTCCTTGCTACGATGGTTTTTCACCAGGTTCTCTCGTTTTCCTCCTTCCTCAAAAATCAACATACAAGTTGAAAGTTTTGTACTTCAAACATTAAATGTAGTGGAAGTGAGTGTGGAGAGTGTCATTTTAATTAAATGTTAGCCTCTGGCTAGGGAGACTCAGCAACGACTTCCCATATCATGGCGTAAAATATAAAGATCTACAGTATTTATCATTTATTTTTATGAGAAGCACTTACCGGTATCCAGCTGCAGCATCTTCTAGTGCCAGTTGTTTGAATTCCTCATACATTTTTCTATGATAGATAACAAAAATAACACATTATAAAAATACTACTCCACCTTGTTCATGACATCACAGAAGAACCTTATAATAGACTTACTTGTTGAAATTGTTTCTAAGGAAAAATGACCAGAAGCGGAACAGTGTATTGAGCTCTTGCGATTGTCCTATGCCAAGTTTTTTTCTTTCTAAGAAAATAGATATATTATATATAGACATATATGAATGAAAGTGATCTGAACTGAATTACAGTATTATCATCCTAAGATAAGCAACTGAAACGCAGGTTTACTCCTGAATGAATGTACAGTATATTGTTAGAGGATTTACCTTTTAAGCACTTTTGATGAAATTTGGAATAAATTTGTTGTTGGAAGCCACTATCTTTGAGTAATCTATGAGATGGATGCTCAAAGTGTGGTATAGACTGAGGAGTTGATCCAAAACTACCAACTAATGCAGTGCTTCCTGGAGGAACATCTGACGATTCAGACACGCTAGTACTGCAAATTGGAGAAAAACAAAAGAAGACCATCTAGAATTAACTGCAAGCAATAACTTTTGATTTTCCAATATGTCAATGTTGAAGGTTCGTTTCATTTTCACAGGCTAGTTTGGGCTTATGTTTGTGAGTTTGCAAGTTGATTAGCTAGTTTCCAACACTATTATGCACTTCTCAACATACTAAAGAATTGGTGGCATGCATCCCTTTGAGAAATGAGAACAAAGGAATAAAAGCCATGACCTACATATTGGTTGACATGAAAAAACATGACAATACCAAATCTTTTGTGAAAGTCACCCCAACAATATGCCAACTACAAGTAAAATCACAGACTGCCACAACTACGGTAAGTATTGTGAAAAGGTGACACATCAAAATTAATTCCATAAATGATAAGTTAATTTGATGCACACTCACCTTCTTGGTGGATAGTCTTTTGTTCCCATAACCCAACCAACATGAGACTCAACAGGAGGATTTGGGCTATACTTTGTCTTTCTCTTATGTGGCCCCTATGAGAAATCATTCACAAAAATTTACCATACATTTATTTTAATCACTACTTCATTACTTCTGAATGAAAGATAATATAATCTACAAAGATAAGATACTAATTTAGTAGTTAACTAGAAACAAGATAATGAGAAGTTGAAACATTCTTTATACAAAAAGTTGAAACATCCTTTGTATTAATGACAATATTGACCATGTCAATCACTGAATCCACTGATCACCATAATAAGATTATGCAACTACAACGTGATGTATATACTGTATGCTCAGTACCACTTATAGTAGTTACCTGGTTTAATTTTTCTTTGCTAAATGCAGGGAAAAATCTTGGAGCTGCTTTTGCATCCTTGCGCTTAGGTGTGCGAGAACCTTGCCGTCTAGTATGTTGAAGATGAGATGGTGATTCAGGTACTGATGTTGGTAGAGATCTTGATAATGGCTCGGTTGGCAGAGTATTAGAGCGTGGCCTGAACACTTCAGCATTTGGTGATAGCGATACATGTGGGACAGTATGGATGTTAGAGGTTTTGCCAGCTTTGTCTATTTCAGTTAGAGACCTTGGTCTTGCTGCTTCCAGGGCATCTTTTTTCGAGTTGAACTGGTCTTGACTAATGATATCTACTCTTTTCCAGGAAGAAGTAAGTTCAATCTAGAAATTTCATTTTAGCAAAATTTGAGCATTTCAATTTAAAAGGAGTATCACCCTCATGAAATAAAGCTGCTATAAAATGTAACAGATATGTTTTAAACCCACTAGCAAAACCTTGCTAGTAAGTTTTGTTCTCATTAGCAAAAATTTCAAAGTCACTAGCGATCGGACGCTGTGAATAACAAGTTTTACTTGATGCAGGTTCTAAACTTTTCAGTCCTTCAATTTCTGGACTGTGGTCATACTCGCAAAACTAAGCTAGTTAAATTTTTTGTCACTCGCTAAATACAAAATTTCACCCACATTTTGTGAGTTTGCAAGGGTTAATTTCGTGCCCTGGAGCTATTCCTGTATTCCTTGTAACACTTACATATGGTATTAAACTTTCTTACCTTTCTATTAAGATAACAAAAATCACCATCATCCCACAGATCCTAGGAATATAACAAAAATAAAATTAATATAATACCAAAACAGAATTTGAAAATTTTGGGCACCTAATTTTAGAGTTGGAACTGGATGATGCACCCCATGGTACAAAGTGATAGCTAGCCAATTGATATCAGATATCCTAAATAACACTAGTATGCTTGACTTGTGAAATTTTTTGAAGAAATATTGTCTCTCTCAGCTACAATTTGAAGAACTTGATTAATTCCTCAGCAGATTGGATTTTACTTTTATCCTGCATTAAGAATTTGATATGGTTATACCTGTTCATAGTAGAAGAGCCCATCGTTGATAACAGCAGACAGCTCATGTGTTAGCTTTGAACGTGGTACAAAGTCTCCTGTTCTATCATGCTTTTTGGGTGGTGGAGTTTGGGTAAGTATCATGATCTTATGAATATCTTGGTCATCAAGATCATCATCAGAGTCATCATCCCTACAATAGCATCAGGTTTGATGTTATTTTATGATGTTCAAATCAAAAATTAGTAATAATAATCCTGGAAGCTCATGCTCTGCAAAAATCAATATCCCTATTAAATTTGATCTCAGGAGACAATCTCAATATGGTGTACTCTTTTCTCACTATAATGCAAATAAATTGTTCTTTTTTAAATTCTATATTTCATATTTGTGTACAAAATCTCACCAGTAAGTTGATGACAAAGAAGGCTTAAGTCCCTGGGTTTCCAGCTCCTCGTCAAACTTGAAGTCCAGCTCTTCTTGATCGTTGCTGTCAAATTCTGAAGTCTGTTTAGGTGTTGATGGCTTTTTTCTTTTCACTTCTTTCCATTCATCTTCTTTTGATTTTTTTACAGCTAATATAAGGAACAAGAGAAAATTTGAAGCCATTAGCGTGTTTCTCCAAAAAGAATGAAAATTTAGGATTTTTTTGTTTAGTTTTATAAAAGGTTTTTACTACTAAGGAATGGTTGTAAATGAACCAGGGACTAAGGAGGTGAGTGGGGGTTAAAAATAAGATCAAAAGGCTTAAAAAGGGTATTCTACATTATTATATAAGGGTATTACATAATTCAATTTAGTTTTGACTTTTTCACTAGTTTGTAGGAAGCTCCTAGAATGAAGTCATTAAATTAGATATTAGACTAATACACATTAGTAGACCTTAATTCCATTGTTTCTTTTGTGTCTATTTGACTATTACATGTTGACTAGTAATTTTTATTTCACGGTTTAAAAGCCCTCACTCTAATCCATTTATTACTATTTATTATTATCATTAATTTTCCATGTGCAACTCCTCATGACCCTCATCAAACTAGATGAATGCTGTTTTTGGAAAAATCTTTTTTTTTATAAACCAGACATTTTAACCTCCCTTTTGCTAGGTGAAAAAGAAACACAGCCAGTCCAGTTCCTTGTCACTCACGTTTTTTAGGTTCTGGTTCACTAGAAACAACTTGTGGTGTTTCTTGGGCTTGTTCTACTTTCTGTTCTGCTACACCTTCTTCCTTGGTGACAGTTTCTTCAGCCTGTGGTATGGAGGTCTCTTCAAAATCGTTTTCAAACTCCATCGAGACATCAACTACCTCTTGATTGGGAATGTTTTGAAAATTCATAGTCTGGTCGTAAAATTCTGCATTTGAAAAATTAACAATGTTATTTAGAAGGCAAAAAGGTTTATCAGGCAGACTGATGTCTTATTTTTCTTAGTATTACATGTCAGTTTACTATCATCATAAATTTCTCCCCCTCCCCCTCCCCCTCCATACTAAATTTCTGGTTTACATTTTATGTACTAGTTTGGACTAAAGTCAACAATGTCTTGAATACAGATGTACACTTAAAGCCAACTAACCTGTTGTATAGCTTGGTTGCACAATATATGTAGATGCATTTTTCACTGAAACAAAGTACAACATGCAATTAAGCTACTGTTTCAGTTTTGGATAACATTGTCCAATCGAAGTTAGAATAATAATATCCCTATAGAAGTGAAAAATAAATCAAAACAAAACCAGCTGCCAACTTGAGTTTTGACAGTAAGATAATTTGCTATAGGTTTTCAAGTACATTAGAGTACAAACATTAAGAGTAAGCAATACTTAATTGCACAATTTAGCATTAAATATCATTGATTATAGATCAGAATGCAATAAATTTACCACAATTTAACACTATATTTGGGTTGCACCCTTTGAGTGTTTTACTATGTTAGACTTGTTCATTTGTGTTAAGACTTTACACCTTTACCAGTAAAGGACTATTGAAATGCGGCTGAATAGACTTTTTTTAGCTTTATCGTTTATTGTCACATTTTTGACCATGTGATGACATTCTTGATTCTTTCAATGTTAAAAATCTCAAGGAAATGTCATGCCATCTGAAATGGGGAGTTTGCATAAGAAGCTAAAAAAGTCTTTTGGATTGCAGGTCTAATGTCTAGCTGTCAAATGCATAACAATAGGTTCCAAGTAATTACCTGTTAGAGGTGAATTTGGTGGGAGAGGCCAGACTGATGGATTTTCCTTTTTCCTCATTTTACCTTCTACTGTTTCTACTACTTCACTATCTTTCATTGCCTTTATAAAAATGAAATATCAATGAGAATCAATAATTGTTTTTTTTTTTTTTTTGAAAGTGTTATTTGTAAGAAAAGATAAATATACTTGTAAGCACAAACATGGATTGTAAGCTTTTATCTGTGAAGAGAAGAAAACCTAGGATTTAAGAGTGGTGTATCGTAGTTGCATGAAGTGCACTTCTCTCCAACCTGAGATCTCAGGTTCAATTATTGGTTTGATTCACCATCACATGCGAGAAGAGATTGTTAGTTCTCTCCCTTGATTTGAGGGTCTTTCTCAGTGTTCTCTGGTTTTCCTCCCWCCTCAAAATCTAACAAGCTAAATTCAAATTTTATTTGTGAATTAGCTGTGCCATGACTTCAATTTGTGCCCTGAGGCTGTTTCAGGGTTCAATCTTGTAGTTAGACTTGTCTTGACTTTGATGAGCTCAGAGGTTGTTCATGGTATTGATAAAATTTGAAGTTTTGACTACCTCAATACCTCAATAACATATACCTACCTCTTGAATCTGATTAGGATCCTGTGTAAGTGCCTGCACTCTGTAGAAGCTAGCAATCAAAGCAATTGGGATGAAGCCATCATCATCCATCTAAATCATAAAAAATAAGACAATGTTAAACCTTTCCATAATTAATGATGAGATAAATACTTACGAGAACTAATGTTACTATTTCTGTTTACCAAACTGATAGAGAGAAACTCATCATTACTAATTTCCAACATAAATATAACTGCAGAAAAGATCAATGGGTTTAGACAATCTGATAGCTACTACAGTTCTGACTAATCTACTAATTTATTAGCTTCAGAGTCAAATTTTACCTGTTTTCTCAAGAAGAAATCTTTGCGTAGATTCTCTTCACTAAAGTAGTATTCACTAGAGAAACAAAGACATAATCAATTACACTAATTCACATATTTGTATTTAAACTTTTATTGCATTTTATTAAGCAGAAAAAAGGCTTTCTTTATTAGAAAAAAAACTTGTCTGATGTTAAAAAATCGGATACACAGTAAAACACAGTAAATCAAAGCTAAAATTAATTTTAAAATAAATTATTGGACAGCAAGCAAGCTAGATGCAAATGAAAGAAAAATAGATGAAGCAATTCTTTTTATGATTTAATACATGCCTGTGTAATAAGAAACTTTAAGACAAACATAGATTGAAGCAAAAATACTAAGATACAATAATATTGCTTACATTTGTTTTCTGATGAATTCCAGCAATGTGATTTCATTGACAGCAGAGGGGGCATAAGTTTGTGACTGGGTGTCTTGTGTATTGTAATAATAGGTCATTCCATATGGTGTTTGCCCACTGTTCTGATTCTGCTGGCTCTGAAAGTATGTTGTGCCATCGAAAAACTGGTAACTGCCGCTACCGTACTGGTAACCCTGATTGTACTGGAATGGTCGTTGATGGTCTAGAAAAAAAATTGACAGATGCCTTTTCAAACTTTTATCAAACTCTCAGGAAACATTCACAGTTCAACATTACTTGTAGGTGCAGTAGTAAAAATAACAACCGGTTATCCAAAGTCTGCTCAGAATTGGAACTTGACCAGTCAAATGTTTGCCTTACCAGACATTTTCATTAATAATGTTCAGCCAGAAACATCAAATGGCCAGTCATTATGACTGGTTACTGACCAAGCATTATTTTTATCACTGAGGTAGGGAAACACTGCTGGCATAGCAACGGGAGCGCTCGCCTCTCATCAATGCGACCTGAGTTTGAGTCCCGCCGGGTTTGGTGTTGTATACGAGTAGAGTTGTTTGTTGGTTCTCTCCTGTGCTTCGAGGGTTTTCCGGATTCTCCGGTTTTCCTCCCTCCGCAAAAATCAACTCCTAAATTCCAATTCGATCAGGGAATGAGGGCCACATATTTGTTGGCCACTGGCTATTAAGTGAGTGCTACCCTTGTGAAAAAAGGACATTATTATGTTTTGATAAAATAATGGTTTAAATATGGTGAAGAGAATATAATAGAGGGAAAACCCAAACACCTCTTAGCAGCTTAAAGAGCTTCAAGTTTATAATTCTTATGACCAATCAGTGAAACAAAAGACTTACCTCTTGGAGATCTTTGTCTTCCGCCTCTACCTCTTCCTCTGGTACCTCCTCTTCCACCTCTCCCTCCACGAGTGCTTGACCTGCTCTCTGTTGAGGATGTTGTGGAGCCAAACCTGTTGTTTGGGGACTTGTAGCCTTTGTTAGGAGGTCCATCATCTGGAGATTTCTTTCCACCAGTGCCATTTGTTGACTGGCCTTCACCACTGTATTCTGACCCATCTAGACTGAGCGGTACCCATTTTGGACGAGGCCCTGAATTACCTTATGAACATTTAAAATTAAAAAATTAAAAACACAAGAATTTTCAATTATCAAACTTCTGGGATCATTCCTTAACAGACTTAATTACTCTTTTCCCATTTCTGATCATGTCACTCCCCTAAGTATTAATTCTTTATCAGAAATCTGTGAATAGATAGACATGTTACTATGTGGACACACTAACCGGAACCACTTGAATATAACTGACCAATCTGATAACAGCAAACTAGACAGAAATTGAACTGATAACAGTGGTATCCAATTGGATTATCATGTTCTCATGCTCTTATTATAGTGATGTGCTATCTGATTAACTGGTTAAAAATATTGAACCAAATGTTGCAATATGATTGGTTAATGGTCCTAATTTATCAAAGTGGTCCAGGTTGGAGTATCTGTACACTAATATTTGTGAGATCATAAATGAGAATATACATGGATAATGCAATGTAATTTTTTTCTTTAAATGTTTGCAGATTAATGTCCTCAAAGATAAAGCAACCACTTTTTATAAAATTATTTATACTTATTTTAACATACTATCTTGAACTTATCTGTCAATTATTGCTCAATGAAAATTAATATGTAGGGCCTATTTCTGAGTTTATTATTGGAGAATATTATGATCTTTGTTTTTTTGCCAGCTTGATATCTGATGCGCTCTTAAGGCTAGCGGTCCAATATACTAATGTGGGGCGGCCTATTGTTATGCAGGGCCCACATGCATGTCCATTGTATGGATCTTAGCAGTTCTCAACGATCCTCGTTGACTAGGTTTAACGATGATTTTAAATCAAATCAAAATTATATTTCAAAAATTTATAATAAGCAAAGATATTTTTTATATACAGTATTTTCCTGATAGCCAATTGTATATCCTACAAGTATTGTAAACTATATATATCATCATTAGAAAACTCATTAATAATTCATGAAGAAAACACAATAGAAATCATGACCATGAAGGTGATTTTAAATCGGATAAAGATTCGTCTTCATAAACTTTAACTTGGATTTTCTCTATCAAACTTGGTTCATTTCGTAAAAAAATCGGTACACAATGAGAACAAACATCATAAGTTTTCTAAGCCGTTCAATAATCTCGCAGATCGTGTTTTATCGGGTCTAAAACCACTCGGCTGCGCCTCGTGTTTTATACCCGATAAAACACTCCTGCTCGTTTATTAAACATTACTTTGCAAATTTTCTGTTTATTCTTTTTACTTTTACTTTTCTGTTTATTCTTTTTGATTTTAAATTTTCTATATTTAAACGCATGGATAAATTCAATCTATTGTCGATAATATCATTTGCCAATGGATATAAATTTATTCTGTTGTCAATAAATATCAGTTGTCAACAAATATTAAATAGCAATAAATAGTCATAAAGTGTAGTTTTTATTCTATTATTAGTATATTATATATTTAGACATAATCACAGACAGCAGATAACAGTCATAAAAAAAGTACTACAGCTATAACTCAAGTTAAATATAGAGCTGTTAGGTTGTGATGTACTTCAGGTCCAACTGCACAACAAAACTGCCAAAATAAAGCAAAAAATGTTCTTTCACCTGCAGCAATTTTGAACAACAATTTCTGTCATGGAGAAAATGTAAAAAATCTTCACACAAGCTGTTTTCCCAAACAATTAAAAGCTTAAGATTCCACAAATGCACCGATCTTGTTGACATTATAAGAACAAATGTGATTCTTCAGAGTTCTAGTCAATTACATTTAGACAATCTTTAAATAGACTCATTTATCTGGGATTCATCTTGCTCTTTTTTTAACACTATAACAAATTCCAATAAAAATAGCTTAACAAAGTTATAGATTTGAAACAAAGGAATTCATTTTAAAAGCATCATTTAAAACACATCAAGGAAAATTAAATAACATCTATTTGTATTACTTGATGTTAATACTTTGTACTTATTTATTATACAATTATTTGCTTCTGTAATAATATCTGTAATATAAGACTGACAAGAAATCTTTCTAAATTTTATCTTTAAACTCAGTGAATTTGTATAAAAATCCGAGTACGATATCTAAACTTTTTGGTGACCGTAACACAGTCCAAGCTAGTGCCGAAAAGGTGAATTAAATATTCATTTTTTGGTGAGAGTTATTTTGCCATTTTCATTGACGAATATACTTAAAAATCTAAAATAAAAAAAAATTATTAAAATATATCACAAAATATATGGAAATTAATGCTCTGAATTTGAATCTTTTTCCTAAAATACTTTGGGAATGGATAATTTTTTTAATTCTGTAGCTCAGTTAATTTTGTAAAATAARGATTCACTTGAAAAATATTACAATGTATATCAAATATAGATGTCTATTGCTATGAAATTAGATCTTTGATAGACAATTAATAGTCAAAAAAGACCAAAAAGGAAAACATCAAATATATTATGCACCTGCAGTTTTCTTTATTTTATATTATTCAAATTTCTTTAAATTGCTTTTGTATGTCTTTTCTTTATTTCTTTGTTAGTTATATTTTTAGCACTACTCTTGCACTGAAAAAAAATCACTTCATCGATTGCAGTAAAGATCACAGCAAGAGACAATAATTATTATGTATTAGAAATATCAAAGTTGTCTCTTGGGATGACATGAATATATGCATTTGAGAGTAGGACCCTCATCATAATATGATAGTTTTTTCCTTCCATTTTTCACCAAAACACCAAGAGTTTTAAAAAATTAGGTTCAAAAATCAGTTAGACTTTGAGCTACTTGGGATACTATACATCTGGGTAAACATCATGGTAGCTGAACTATCACCATATTTCATCCCACGACAGGTTGAACACTGAGCAACCTCGATTTTTTCACTTCTATGAATCAATAATTTAAACATGCATCATTGATTTTATATTCAAAGTCATTACAACGTAGATATACCACATGTATCTATATAGATCTCCAGATAACTTTAAAACGTGAAGCAATATTAAGACTGTTTAGCAATTCAGTTTTTGTCGAGATTCAATCAGTCAAATGGCCAAACTCTGTTTAACACGTCAGACTTTCCGAGAGGACTAAGTATCATACAAAGTTCTCGTCTTAAAAACTGTGGCAACTAAAAATTTACTTTTTTAGAATAATTAAATTCTTGAAAACCACGAACACATAAATAAGGACACATTAATGGCTGTTACTACTATGTAACTATATGTGGAAGAATATATACGAAAATCATCAAGAGTTACCAGTAACTAGAATATGGCGGTCGCTCACAACTTTCGTTCACTTCACTACCTTTCTTTTTCGGCGTTCCCTTATCGCTTTTAACGACGACCTCTTCATCTGGTTTTTGTTCATTTTCGATGTTTTCTTTCTTTATAACAGGAGGCTGTTTTAGAGAAATTCAGTAGAATAAAGGAATAGTTAGTTTCAACGTATCGACAAAACACACAACATTTGAAGGTGGCTGTTGGGATCTTACTTTTGGTTCTTTTGGACCAGACGTGGCAAGCTCTCCTGGGGTAGGCCAGTTCGTTATGTCATTAAATTCACTTCCCTATACGTAAAGAAAAACAAGATGTTTCAAAAGCACATTCGTTCCAATTCATTAACTTTACGAGCTTTACAGAGCAACGAAATTCACCTCACAAGTGCGTCCCTAAAGACGTACCTTAGCCTTGCGTTTCGTGGTAGTACTGGCCTTGGTTACTACTGGTTTCTCTGGCTCAGCTGTGATCAYGTACAAATGAACATTCGGTCAAGAGCAGGGAATTTGATTATTCAATATCTAAGACTGTAAACAGATCTTACCTTTCTCTTCTGCTTGCTTCAAATGTCTAGTCCATGGATTAGTTGGAGGGGGAGGTGCGAGGGCGATGTTTTTGCCCTTTTGAGGTTTCTCCTTGGTGAGGGTCCTGTCCTCCCCAGTTTCTTGACCATTCTTTTCGGTCTCTTGGTGGTTCTCCTTGTTTGTACTGTTTAGTACAACATCCTGGGGCTCACTGACAGAAGATTCTTCCTTGGTAAAGTCAGTGTTGGGTTTAGAAACGCTTTCAACCTCAGTCATAATACTCGAAACGTGTGACTACGTCGTGTTCAGTCAAACTAACCCTTCCACAAGGAACCTTCTGCCGACTAACAAGCCTGAAAACCCAAACAGTTATCGTCGATGGCCTTTCAGTTTGTGTCTAGGAAGGTTTCTTGCAGCCTTCGACTGACTGTTAATCGAGTTTTACGTAAGAAAACACAGCTTTTGCTCACTACTTCGCCATGTGGTTTTATATTAGAAAGAGAGGTCTCTTCAGTGGCAAACTCGGCTACTTGACATGCGCAAGTTCATTATCGGCAAAACTTCGGAAGCCAATCAGAAGCCCCTTAGAACAATGTGTTTCCGAAGCATTCTCCGAAGCTGTTTAAACACGAGCCATCCAGCATGTTATTTAAAATTTACGCACATACTTCAGAAGAACAGGTGATATATTTTCATTTTTGTTTCTTTTGTTTATAATTTCTTAAAACCACCTACCGTAAATATTTTCAATCGATTCCGGGAGTGTTCACACTTTGTGCACTGGAAGACTAAAATGTATATATAGAATCAATTATTTTGTCGAAGAAAGCCGATTTCTCAGATCTTTCTCCCACTTCATATTTTAACACGGGAAGCCCATAGAAGCTTTGAGTAACGAAAAAAAATAAAAAATAAAAAAAATAAAAGCTAATATTTACTCACATGAAGTATTTTTTACGTCATCCTAGTTGTTTAGTAGTGATTTCGATCCATTTTAGCGATTTWAAAAAAAAAAAATTCTTTCCCCTCTATATAACAGAGAGGGGAAAGAGGTGAGGTCGGGTGTACTGAGTAATCACAGTCACTGCCAAAAGTCAACTTTGTTCCCCAGAAAAACACCATAGAAGGCAACATAGAATGCAAGCACATGCACTTACATAGAGCAGTTTTCCAGCTACAACCGTGAAAAGCTTGCGGCATGAACGCGGTCGTTAGACTACATGGCAAGGCATACGCCAGACCAATCCGATTGCGAGAATTTACTCTTTATCCAATTAAGTACCCAATTAAACACGGCACGAACACGGCGCGAACCGGCAAGTCACGACGATGCGCGTACTGGTACGCTAGACCAATCACATACGGCCTACGCGAGCACCGAATTTTTCACACTCATTGCCTGATTTCAATTCGAGAGAGGCCGAGACCCGGCTAGATTTGCCAGTCTCATGCATGCATGCTAAAGGAAATGATTGTCATTCACAATAAAGAAGAAAGAGATTAAGTAATGACTAAATAAAGAAGATTATAGGAGAAATGTCTGAAAAATAATTAGATATAGATCAGAATTCGTTCTGGGTTCGGGATCACATTATAATACGTATTTCTTTTGTGCACCATTTTTTTCTCAAACAACACTGCTGGTACAGCTCCATTGTCAACCATCATTCATTATTCCTCAGTTAATTTCCCTCGGCCTGAAATCATGCAATGCATGGGACTTCCGTCCGGAAAAATGATAGCTGGGTCCCAGCCTCTCTCGACTTGAAGTCAGGCAATACGACGACAGCTCTAAAGGTGACGTCAGACTTCTTTTAAACTTCTTGCAGGAAAAATTCTAATTTTGTACAACTGATTTACCTGAAGTACACCCGCTGCCCCGCCTACTAAATTTCGACAAGAGAAAATGGAGTAGTTTATTTTCTCTTGATTTTAAAACAAACAGAAGTTGTGCATATTGGATAGCATACTCGCATTTCCCAGAAATATTCGATTGGTCAGTATCCGGCACCTATCGGCATTACGTACCTAATCGTAATATTTTATTTACTTCCCTATTTGCAGGTACATGTCAAAAACACCAGAACTACCGACACCAACTGAACACCACATACTCTTTCAAGAGGAATATATTTTATTAAAATTCGCACGCACTCCTACTTTTTACCCTTTTGAAGATTACAATGATATGCTCGCTTGCCCTTGTACAGTTTCATGGAAACGGACTACAAGGCAGCGCAGATTTCGGTATATTCCCGCTCGAAAAACTCACGGTAAGTATGTGACTATGACTTTGGTATGGCCAATTTTTATGCAGGTTGATGTTCTTAGCCCGAGTATCAGGCCTTCCAGGGGCGGTGGCCTGGGGAGAGAAAGCTGGCCTCTCCTTTTCCCTTTCCTACTCCTCCCTCAACGAGCCTGATACTCGGTCTAAGATGTTGTCAACAATATCATCTCTAATAAACTGATAGATGACACAAGATAAGTAGGGAATCTAAAGACAGACCTTTTTATCTGCTGTAACGTAATTGTTCCTTCTTACACCCTTAGATGCGAAATTTTGTTGTATATTCTTTAAGCACTAAGACGCTAAATGCATTAGACTTTGACTTTTTCATCATAATAGTCATAATATCGAGCCCTCCGTTTCCGTGATAAATATATATGTATATTTTTTTTGATAAAGGGCTAGCATACATGTGCTTAAGGCACAGACACACGCTGGAACATTGCGCGCAATGTTGTAGGCAATGTTGCTAAAGTAGGATCGTTTTCTACTTCAGCAGCATTGCGTGCAACAAATTGCGTTGCGCGTGACATGGCTCGAAACATCGGTTGCTTGCAATGTAATGTCGGCGTAACGTTGCACTGTGCGTCCGTAGCTTAAGCCGTCGCTCTCTTCCCAATTTCTATAAAAATGTATAATCAGACGCGGACAAGCCCCGCTTTAGTTATATAAAAATATTTCCCTACCTATGACGATGCTTTATGCATGGACATTATAAGTTCAAGCTCAATTATGGCAGGTATCATTAAATCTAATTAATTTGTCAACGAATAGTAACAAATAATGTATTGACATATCAGTAGATCGAGAGAATTGTAACCAGTGTAGCAACTCCACTATATGCCCTCAGCATGCAAACCGCATACTGCAAGCCGCTACGCAGGCTAGTAAGCTTGCAGACAAGTTATTAATGGTTACTTTGGTTCCATGGATTTTGGCAGGCGTGCCTAGAAGCATAGTTAGCTATACTGGAAAATAAGTTATTCTTGAGCTGCCCGTGTGATTACCCGGCTTGGCATAAACGGCTACGAGTGCCATGAAGACAAGCAGGCAAATATTACAAACTAGATTAAAATTAGACAATGGATATGATTTCTGTGACCATAAATATTTCTTGAGAAACTAGTTATACTTGAGTGACGATTTTGGAGCGCTTTGGAGTTTGAAGGTTTGAAAAAGGGCACATGGCAGGAACACCTTGGGGCTGTTGTGGCAGTGGCTCTGGGGCCGGRGATATGCCATTAGAGTTGCCACACCATTGGGGCGAATTCTTTCCATTAAGGCGATTAATATATGATTCTGAGAGAAACTTTGGATCTCTTGAGAGGAAGAATGTTATCATTGGTTCTGTTCGCCCTTTYATATGTACTGGACCGCGCTTTTCAAATACAAAACTAGGGTCATTGTTCACAGGCTCTTGGAGGCACCTGAATGAAAAAGAAAGACAGTTCAAGCTATTTTGGATTGTTTAGTGCATGAGCTATGTGCTCAACGTGCCATGAGGTGCGGGAAGGATAGGTAATAGATAACAGTGCATGAGCTTGACATTAGCCAATACTCCTTTTTACAGTTCCATTCAGTGACCATGAATAATAGTTCCTAGCCGAGGCTGGAGTTACCGCGCATAATGCTAAACTGTAGTTTTGCTATGTGCGGAAACTCCAGCCTCGGCAAGGAACTATTATTCGTGGTCACTGAATGGAACAGTCATGAACAGGGAAAAAAGAAAAATCTTGCTCAGATATGAAATACCTGTAGGTAAACTCTGTAATATTCACTTTATTAGGTGCACCTGTAGTTTCAGTTCTACTGGTCAAATTGACAGTGTTACCAAATAAACAGTACCGAGGAGTCTTGTGACCTACTACACCAGCCACAACTTCCCCAGAGTGAATGCCAATCCTTATCTATAGACGTTTAAGAAAAACAAAACAAAAACAAATAAGCTCAACGAAGTCTAAGAAATCATAAGAGGCTTGCAAGTCTTTGATTTGTGTTATATGCTGCTGAGCCTATGTGGTAGTGACAATAAATGTTTCAAATTTTGATGAGGCATGGGGGGGGGGGGGGGG